ATGATCCTGATGATGATGATGATGATGATGATGATGGTGATGACGATGATGATGATGCTGAGGATGGGTATGTTGCTGATGATGATGATGATGATGATGATGATGGTGGTGGTGATGATGATGATGATGATGATGATGATGATGATGATGATGATGACGATGATGATACTGCTTTCCAAGAAGGCCTACTCCTTCTCACTTTCCCCCAGGTTCGCCGCCCAAGATCGGCCTGGAAGTCGGGGAAGTTTCAGCGCAAGCCCAGGGACACAACGGCAGCCGTCAAGCCCCTCACGGTTGAGATTCGACCTCCCAGGTGGAAGTCGGGTTTGTCTTTCTACAGGAGGAATATTCAGAAATAGACAAACGGAACATCGGGATGTTGTTTTTTGAACATGTCTCTGTTATTTTGAGAATTTGTTGAGCATTCTTTACTCATCGTCCAAAATCCCCCTGTAGGAGGGCATGCCCGACCTAATCCCAGGTTTCAGGGTTTTGTCAGAGCACAGTGCGCCAGGACAGGCTGATGTGCAGGATCCGATTCCCTCAGTTCAAGAGAAGGTGCTCCCAATTACCCCGCCCGCCCAGGGTCCATCATTCTGGCCCGATCCGATCCGGTTCGATCCCGATCTTCTGGCGATTCTTGCCGCCCGATGATTGCAGGGCGCAGTTGTGCATCCTTGCGCGGCCGATTCGATTCCACTCCGACTCCGTACCGATGCGGCCCAGATTCCTACTCTGGATGGGGCTGTCATCGCCCCCCCCCTTGGATCCGCTGGGGGGGTTGGGCACGTGCTGTTGGCACGGGTGGAGGGGGGTTAGAGGAAGAGTAGGAGGATGTGGAGAGGAGGAGGGTGGAGGGGAGCGGCATTGGGCGAGCTCAGTCGGAAGGTTAATCGCCCCCCCTCCCCAAATACCCCATCCAGAGCAAAGTCCAGGCTGTCTGACCCCGCCTCGCTGTTCTTCAGGACACAATTCATCGTCGACCCCCAGGAAAATGTGCGAAACCATGGGAAGTGGGGGGGAAGACAGGAACCCAGAAGATGTGTGAAACTGAACTGTGGGGAAGCCTGGGATCTGGGTGCATTTGCTCGCGTGCCCGTGGGCCCCTTTCAGTTCTCCCCTCCCTCCCCCCCTGGAGGGCCAGGGCCGTTGTGGAGGCAGCGGGGCCCCGACGGAGGCCCCCGGGGCAGCGGTGCCGATCTGCTCCGGGCGGGTCTGCCGAGGGGTGCGCTCTGCTCGGGGGCGGCGGCCTTAAGGGGGGGGTGGATGTCATGGCGGGGGCCACGAGATCTCCCCAGATCTCATGGCGCCTCGTCTTATGTCCATGCGTCCCTGCCCCCCCCCACCCCCCCTGGGTCGCGCACATGCCCCTGGCCACGACTTGGGCCCCCCCCCTCCCCTTGGACGCCCCCCTCTTGGCCGCTCCCGATCTGCATTCCGAATCCAGGGCTCATTTCGGTTCCTCCGATTCGATTCGATCTCGACGGCTTCCGATTCCGATCCAACTCGACTTCGGATTCCGATTCTTGGATGCCGATTCCGCCATGGAGGCCTGCTAGCCTGCCGATTTCTGACGATTCGACTTCTCACGACTTGGCTGCCGATTCCTGCCGATCCGACTTATCGATTCGATGCTGGGCTATCCTGGAGAGGTGCGCTCTGTGTTCCGGCTCGGGAGCCGCTGCGACAAAACGGGAACGGCCACGGGTCATCACGGGATTTGGTATTTTCGTGCGGCGATGGCGCGCCGGCGACGCCGGCGGAGGCGTTCAAGGTTGAATTCTGCGACGCGGGAGCACTGAGGGACAGTGTGAGGCCCTTGGACCCGACGGAATTCATTTTTATCGATCGGGGCCGCGATCGATTCAAGGTTGAACGATCGACGCGGTGTCAAGATCCTTTTCGCGCCCCGACGCTGCACGAACCTACGGTAGCCCCTGTAGGATGCAATTCCTTGCATGTTAAAGTCAGCAGCGGCGCTGGTATATCCGTGGTCGAAAACCAGCCTACTCTGGTTTTATTCGGCTTCATCCCGCTAAGGTTGGTTTCGTGCCGTTGATCAGGCTTCATGGCTCCTTGTACTATCGAAATGGGCACGCAAAGAATTGTCACGAAGACCGGCAGCACTTCCTCATTATTTTGGATAGGATTGGTTGTCGGTGTCGCCGCGGCCGTTATCCATTTGAGAGAGAAGGCAGCCTGCTCAACAGCGGCCGTTGTCGGTGTGGGACAACGTTTGATGTTAGGCATCATGACCAAGTTTGCCGTACCCATTCTGGACATCCACGCTTCATCTGGCTCAATCGCCCATAGTCGTTCTTTGGAAGACCTCCCAGAAGTTGCTTTCTGCCGCCCCCCTCCCCGACGGGCATCACTCTCGTTGCTATGGCGTATCGCGTCCCGTGGTGTCTGCTCGAGGCGGGGGTGGAGTTGCCGCCCCCCCCAGACACGCTCGGGTGGGGCTAGGACAGGGATACAGTCGGACCGAGGTAGAAGATCGAGGTCGGTTCGGGGAGGGTACCCTGATGTTTTTCGTGCTTGGTGTTGGTTGGATGTTCTTGTGCACCCCGGGGAGGGTTCCCTGGAAGGATGTTCTTCTGGCGTAGGTCGGACTCCAAATCGCCCCACGGTTCTGGAACTCACTCAGAGCGCTGCGGAGCGCTCTCGAACGGCCACGGCGCCCGAGGCATCCTCCAGGATTGCTGGACCTCGGAGGTCCCCGATCTGTCCCTGTCCGATTCTGCCGCTGTCCTGGCTTCGCCTATTAGCACTTCTCCGGCATCGCAGGACACTCCGAGTCGCTCCATCACCCTGGGATTCGGCCGTGGCAGTTGCTCCTGTCCCGACCGGATAGAGTGTATCCTGGATCCCCAGGGCACTATGGAGAAGCACATTGGAAGCGGGGGGGGGGGAAGACGAAAACCCAGAAAACATGGGACTAGGTGGGGAATCCTAATATCCGTGTGTATTCCTGTGTGCTTCCTCGGGCGCCGCCTCGCCCGGCGTCGGGCCGAAGGGGCCGTCGCCGCGGGGTGCGCCGCAGGAGAGGCAGGGGTCCGGGTGCTGGCCGTGCGATTCTCGCGATGGCGCCCCCTTGTGGTTTCGCAGCGTCGGAGGTCCAGGACGCATGGGGTGGGGGATCGCGTTTCGGAGGGGCGCCAACAATACACCACCACCAGCTCTGGCCAGGTCCATCCTAGGCCCTGGACCGGCGTGTGGGCCTCCAGGCCCAGGCCAGGAGGGCCAGTCCAGGGCCCAGGACGGGCCTGGCCTGGGCTGGTGGCGGTATATTGTCTGGAGCTCTCCTAGCGTTTGGGTGGGGAACGACTGAGCTGTCTCTGGATGCACGTGAGGGGGTGAATCGCTCGTGTCCGCGGGCGATTTCGGCGCGCGTCGGGGTGCCAGGACGGGGCGTCCAGCGGAGCGGCATGGGGGGGGGAGGTTGACTGATCATCTCGGAGTATCCGTGTTGTGGAAAGATGTGTGGAGAGGGTGGAGGCTCGATCTTCGCATCTCGTGGTTACATGTTTTTATTGCAACTCCACCCCTGCAGCGACAGCCCTCAGTCTGTCCCCATGTGCGGGATTGTGTTCCGCACTTCGCCCTAACTTAGAGGACCGCCTCGTGGGGCCAGAGTGCGGGCCGCACCAGAGAATCATAGTAGTATTTTGAACGGTTGCAAGGCCTATTTCGATTCCATCGATCCGATGCGATATCGATTCTGGCGATCCGACGCGGCCCCGTATTTGCACGGCATCGTTGTGCAGTTTGGTGGGTACCCCGCGATGCAGGCATTGTATGGAGGCGGTGGGGCAGGAATGAGACGGAGAGTGGAGAGGGAAGGTTGGAAAAGAGTGGGTAGAGAAGGGGCAGGGGAGGAGGAGGAGGAGGAGGAGGAGGAGGAGGAGTAGCATGAGGATGATGACGAGGAGGAGGAGGAGGAGAGTAAGGAGGTTGAGATGGAGGAGGAGGCGGAGAAGGTCGAGGAGGAGGAAGCATCAGTATGAGGTTGGAGACGATTCGCATCCATTGCGATCTGCACCTGGTGCGAGGACTTTGTGCCGAGTCGGGCACATTCGCACCCGTTCCCATCCGACCTTACTCATCGATAAGACGCTGACAGTTCCTGGTCAGATTCAAGTAGGTTCATGCGGCGTTGGCGCGCCGGCGACGCCAGCAGAGGCGTTCAAGGTTGAATTCTGCGGCGCGGAAGCACCGAGAGACACGGTGTCGCCATCGGACCCGACGGAATTCAACCTTTAACGATCGGGGCCTCGAACGATTCAAGGTTGAATGATCGACGCGGTGTCACAAACCTTTACGCACGCCGACTCCGCACGAACCTACCGTAGTAGCCTCTCTGCCTTGCTTTGGCTCAGTGGTCTCCATCCGATCCCGCGGAGACTTCTCAGGAGTTGCCACTGGACCCTCCAGCTCCCAGAGATTTATCTCGACCCGAATGTACCGGCATCCTGCTGTCGTCTCGACCCTGAACCCCAAACCCTGAACCCCGAAACTTCATTTTGCCCTTTGAAAACCAGGAGAACCCAGCAGAATGTTGCTTCATTCCGCCTGATTCCGCTCAGTCTGGCCCTTCCTGACTTCATCCTGGCCTTCATTTGGGCGAATCTGGCTTACTGCCCCTTCAATGATTCAATGCTAGGCGGCCTTCATCTCTCTAACGGAAACCTCCCAGAAGTTGTATCCTAAGATTCGATATCGATGCCGTTTGGCCCGATCCGATACGTGTCTTGACCATCCAGAGTGGTTGCATCTTGGCGTTACCGATTCGATTCGATTCCGACCTGGTCCGATCGATGTTGATCGTTCCAGGCAGCTTCTGTTCAACCTGGGTCTTTGTTGGGGGGCCCCCCGGAGACCGAAAGTGGTTCAGAATTTCAGTCATGAGTTTCCCTCGCAGTGGCTGTTTCGGCATCTTGCCCCCGTCCTGGGCAGGACCACGAGCTCTTCGAGGACTTCTGCGAGGTGTGCGCGCTGACATGGCAGGACCGAAAGTTATGATGTCCCAACCTGCTTTAGCCTGAACCACCAGAAATAATTTCGAGCACCAGGGAAGTACCGAAACTGGAGGGTGTTCACGTGTCGGGCCCTGGGAGGCGATACTCGTTTGACACACTGTTTCGATATTTTTCTGGGTGCACGAAAGTACTTGTGGGACCTGGTCCTGAAATACGTTGGGAGCAACATACACCGAGAGGAGCAGGAAGGCACGAGAACGGCACGCTCCAAGGCTCCCGGGCCCCCCTGCGGATCCGCGCGGGCTGCAGAGAGGCGGGCCGGCAGATGCTCCAGAGATCTTGCAGCGTATCCTGAGCCGATCGCCATCATTCGGGTATAGCTAGGACCCCAGGTGAGGGGACCCGGTCAAGTAGTGGCAGGGCCCCGGAGCCCCTCAATCGGCCAGATTCACAAAAGCAGGTCTGCCGCAGCTGGTGTTCTTCGGGTGACGGCAGTTCCGGTTCGTGGAACGGGGCGGGGGGGGGCGTCCCCCAGTACACGTTACGAAACCAGGTCCCACGAAGCCCAGTTCTGCGCGCAGGGGGCTCCAGCCCTGCGTGCGTCAGAGGCCGCGGGGCAGGCTTGCAGTGCACCCAGGGGCCGGCAGCGGCCTCCTCGGCACCCCAACGCCGGAGCAATGATGGCGCTCTCGACTCGTGGCGGGGGTGCTGCACCTCTCAGGAGAGGAAAAAACAGGCACAATGAATCGTCCACTCCCAGGAAAATATGGGAACATATGGGAAGTGGGGGAGGAGACAACAAAAACCCAGAAGATAGAGGAAAGTATGGGGAATCCTGTTATTTGTGTGTATTTTTTTGTGTATCCCAGGGCCCCCTCAACCTCGTGGGGTCGGCGGGGGCGCCCCCCTCCGGAGGGCGGGCGCCTCGCGCGCGCCTCGTGCCAGGAGGGGCTCCAGCTGGGCGTTGGCCCTCCGTGCCCGCCCGCGGGCGCCGCGGGGGTGCAACGCGTGGCCGACATAGCACAGGCCTCCTCCCTCCTCCCTCCCTCCCTCCTCCTCCTCCTCCTCCTCCTCCTCCTCTCCTCCTCCTCCTCCTCCTCCTCCTCCTCCTCCTCCTCCTCCTCCTCTCCTCCTTCCTCCTCCTCCTCCTCCTCCTCCTCCTCGTCCTCCTCCTCCTCCATCTCCTCCTCCTCCTCCTCCTCCTCCTCCACTCCTCCTCCTCCTCCTCCTCCTCCTCCTCCTCCTCCTCCTCCTCCTCCTCCTCCTCCCTCCTCCCTCCTCCCTCCTCCCTCCTCCCTCCTCCTCCTCCCTCCTCCCTCCTCCCTCCTCCCTCCTCCCTCCTCCCTCCTCCTCCTCATCCTCCATCTCCTCCTCCTCTCCTCCTCCTCCTCGTCCTCTCCTCCTCCTCCTCCCCCCCTCCTCCTCCTCCTCCTCCTCCCTCCTCCCCCCCCTCCCTCCTTCTCCCTCCTCCTCCTCCTCATCCTCCTCCTCCTGCTCTCCTCCTCCTTCTCCCCCTCCTCCTCCCTCCTCCTCCTCCTCCCTCCTCCCCTCCTCCCTCCTCCTCCTCCTCCCTCCTCCCTCCTCCTCCTCCTTCCTCCTCCTCCTCCTCCCTCCCTCCTCCCTCCTCCTCCCTCCTCCCTCCTCCCTCCTCCCTGCTCCCTCCCTCCTCTCTCCTCCGTCCTCTCTCCTCACTCCTCCCTTGCACCGCATGGCTTGCGCGGCGTGTGCCGCGGAGGCCCACGCCGAGAGACGCCCCGCTCGCCTCCAGGGTGCCCTGGGCTTCTCGGGTGCCGATGGCCTCGGTGATCGTCGATCGCCCCCGGCCCAGACCGCCGTCGAGGAGGCTCGATCCTCGGATCGAGGATCCGAGATCTTGGTTCCAAGCATTTTTGAGCGCACTGGATCGAAGGACCGAGGATCGCCGCGCTTGGATTCGAAGATCTCGGGTTCGCGATCCGAGGATCGAAGATCGAGCCTCGGCTATCGTTGATCCCCCTCGTCGCCGTCCTCGGGCCCGGATCTCCATCAAGCAGGCTCGGTCCTTCATTGTTGGATCGAGGATCCGAGATCTTGGTCTTGAGCATCTGCGAGCACCTCGGATCCTAGATCAGAGGATTGCCAAGCTCTGCGATGGGGAGGCGCGGCGTTCCCACACCAGCCCCATCCAGCCCACTACCGCTCCATCGGGCTGACTCCGGCTCGATCCGGGGCCTCCTCCTCTTCCTCCTCCTCTTCCTCGAAGACCTTTCAGAAGTCGCCTCTCGAAGACCTCCTCCTCCTCGAAGACCTCCCGATCCGGGGTCTCCTCCTTTTCCTCGAAGACCTGAGCCCCGAAGAGCGTTCCCACGAGGGCCTCCCAGGGAAACTGCCCCCTGGCTGGCACCACCCTCGCCCCGAGGACTTCGCGCCGGGCGAGCTGGCCCTGCTCCTGCGCGCGACTGAGGACTACGCCCTGCTGCACCCCACTGGCGGGCCCGCGATCGCGCGCCTCGCGTGCGCGCTCGCCGAGGTGCTCGTCGTCGTCGTCGTCATCGTCGTTGTCGTCGTCGCCGTCGTCGCCGTCGTCGCCGTCGTCGCCGTCGTCGTCGCCGTCGTCGTCGCGAGCGAAGCACCGACACGGCTCGTCGTCGTCGTCGTCGTCGTCGCCGCTGTCGTCGTCGCCGTCGTCGTCGCCGTCGCCGCCGTCGTCGCCGTCGTCGTCCGCCGTGCCCGTCGCAGTCGCCCTGCGATGTTATGATCGTTTTTGTTATGCATGTTTGTTGCCGATCGGCGCGGGGGCCTCGCCCCCCCCTCTGGAGTGGATCTTGGCTGTGTCTGGCGCCTGTCTCGGACAGGTGGATCGAGTATAGCCAGGGCCCCAGGTAAGGGGACCCGGTTCGTGGTAGGGTCCCCGGGCCCCGAAATGTGCCAGAACCACTAAACCAGGTCTTCCGCAGCTGGTGTTTTTTCAGGTGACGGCAGTTCCGGCTAGTGGACCGGGGCAGGGCGGGGCGTCCCCGAGTACACATCACTAGAACCAGGTCCCAACAAACCCAGTTCTGCCAACGCCCGAGTGGAGTCTCCCCCATCATAGGACGAGCTGTTCCAGGCAGCCGCACTGAGCAGAGGTCCGTGGCCAGAACCCCCCCCCTTCCTCCCCCCTCCACCCAATGTCGAAACGCCGAAAAAAGAAAACGTTCACCTTGCAGGTTTGCGCCGCGTCGACGAGAGGTGGTCGAGGTTCGAGGTTGGAGATTCTGGCAAAAGGGGGTCGTGGTTCGTCAGAGGAGGAAGCGATACCGATGCGGATACCTCTGCCATCTCCTCGGCGGCACGGCTAAGTTCGCCTCGGAGTCTTGGTCATGACGCGCCCCACTAGGAGAGGTCCGTGGAGTAGCGATTTGGGTAGCGTATCTTTTTGCTTCCCCAGTTGGAGGTTTGCTAACGTGCTTCGCGGTTCTCGGCGGTTCTCGTGCCCCAGGGTGCTCTCCAGGAGGGTTCGCCCGGATCGTCCCGAACGGTCGCCGGAGACCCGAGTCAGGACCCGAACGCCATGGGCGAGGATCGCCCAGGTCTGACGAAACAGACGGATTTGGACAGGGGGGTTACGATATCTGCTGCATGCAGCTGTTTTCGTCCCCGCCGCCGGGCGTTTTCTTTTCAGCGGCGTCAGGAGGAAAATCGGCCAAGTGAGCTGATTCGCGACTCCCCACCTTTCCTGACCCCTCCTTTTCGTCCGACCCGAAACTCTCCTGCAGCCCTCGATCGCCCTCGTTGATTGCCCCCCTTTCAAATCCACCCAGGGATCCGACGTCGTGATTTTTGAAAGAGCGTCCTGTGAGTACATTGGGGGGAACTCAGGGGCGGCAGTACGAACCGCTTGCTCCGCCCTCAATCATCAGGGGAGTGTTCGAATCCCCCCCCTTCCAGGGGAGGGTTCGAAGTCCAGAGCGGGGGAGGTTGGGATTTTGCGACGCCCCCAGGGCACCTGGAGGCCGAAAATTGCCACAAACGTCTCGTCGTTGTTTTTCTGTGACAGCTCGCCTCATCAAGCATGCCCTGGCGTGGCGCCCCGCGGCGGTGTCGTCACCTCGCTGCTGGAGGAATACTTGTGTTTGCCCCAGCGCTTGCCCGTTGCTGATGCCAGCTCTCCAGGGTCGATCCTTGGTAGCCTCAATGTTGCTGTTTGGCCCTCGTTAGCTCGCTGCTTGTGGATCTGCCAGGCGGCTGGTGCCCCGCCTGCGTGCGCTTGAAAAGAGTGTGTGCGTGTGTGGCGCTGCGCCCGCACACCGCTGCATGCTGACGTTTTCCTTGCGCACCGGCTACAGCCCGCTTTTCTTTGCACGCGTCGGTCACGTCCTAGCCATCCACAGAGAAAGGTTCGATGGTGATTGATCTAGGCGTGCCCCGCCTTAGACTTCGTTGCGATGGGCACGCCGTCCGTGAAGACATACATGTGTGTATGTGTTTGTGTCTGCGCGTGTATGTGTGTATGCGCGTGTGTGTGTGTGAGAGAGTGTGTGTGTGTGTGTGTGTGTGTGTGTGTGTGCGTGTGCGTCTGTACTACCCGCACCATGTCATGTGCTTGTCCGACATGCTTTGCTCCCTTTCTTGACGCGCAACCGTTTCGGCGGTTCCCGTGCCATCGACATCAGTCCGGTTATAAGCGCTTCTTAGCACAGCCCGCTAGCGCTCTCGCTGAGTTGTACCAGCCGGCCGCGGAGTATTTGCCATGGGACGTATCCAACACGCTTGTACACGGGAGGCGATTAAGACCCAGGAGCTTTCAATGCAGCAGAATAGGTGGAAGGATTTGCAGTATACGCGAGCGCTTGGGAAGGAACTTCAGACCACTAACAATTGCTCAGTGACAGCATGATCCCGTCAGAGACAGAAGTCAGAAGGGAAAGAAACACATAGACACAATGGATCGTCGACTCCCAGGACGATATGGGAAACTATGGGCAGCTGGGGGAAGACAAACACCCAGAAAATATATGAAAATATGGGGGATCCTGGGATTCGTATGTATTCTTCTGTGTGTCCCTGGGCCCCTTCAAGAAGGGCGATCAGGAGCAGCCACAGACAAAACAACAAAAACAGCGGGGGCAGATACACAGAGCAGGAATACTTAGGGAAGTGATGGATCAGAGTTTCTCACGTCGTCTTCTTCCTCCCCGCCCTCCCTCCTCCCTCCTCCTCCCCCTCCTCCTCCTCCTCCTCCTCCTCCTCCTCCTCCTCCTCCTCCTCCTCCTCCTCCTCCTCCTCCTCCTCCTCCCCCTCCTCCGCCTCCTCCTCCTCCTCCTCCTCCTCCTCCTCCTCCCCCTCCTCACGAAAGTGGCGACAGTGTCACGGTTCTCCTGCCGCAGCGTTGACGGCGAGGCTTCGCTCTCATCCGCGCAGGACGTCGGCCTGCTAGGCCTGCAGGGGCCCACGAGAAGAGTGGCGGCGGCTTCGCAGCTCGCGGGCCCCGCCGGGGACGACGGGGCCCCGCTCTGATCTGCGCACGACGTCGCTCCGCGGGGTCCCCAGGAGGCCACGAGAGGTGCGACAGACTTGCAGTTCGCGGGCCCCGCGGGGGCGGCCATGCGAAATGCTGATCCGCTCGAGGCGTCACTCCGCGGGGCCCCATCCAGCAGAGTGGCGACCGTTTCACAGCGTGCGGGCCTCGACAGGACGGCGAGGTCTCATTGTGATCCGCGTGAGATGTCACTCCGCTGGGACGAGCAACGGCATCACAGGACGCAGGCCCCGAGGTGGACGGCGAGGCCTCATTCTGATCAGCGTAAGACGTCGCTTCGCTGGGTCTCCAGCCCACGAAGGGGGCGAGGGTTCAGGCCAGAGGCAGGCACAAGCTGTGGAGAGGAGGAGGAGGAGGAGAAAAATGGCAGATAGGAGACGAAAGGCTGACGGCAAAAGGAGGACAGCGGGGGAGCGGAGCGGAGCGGCGCCGATGTCGCCCAGGGGCGTCCCATGTAGGGAACGGCGGGTGCGACGGGGCGCCTCAGTTGGATGCCGGTACATACGCAGATTCCGCGCGAGCAGTGCTCTATTCAAAACGAGTGCCCAACCCGAGGAGGTTTAGGAACACCGTGTGTGTCCACCGCGCGCGCCTCTTCGACTTGTTTCGCCGCGGCGCCGCACGCGTGTCCTTGACAACCAGAAACACGTGTATGTTGTGAGTGTGTTTGTGTGTGCGTATGTGACTGAGACGCGTTCCCCCTTTCGACTGACGACTCCGCGCTGCCGTGCGCGTGGCCGCAACGCCCAAACAATTTATATATATATATATTAATATATATATATTATATATATGCGTGTGTGTGTTGGTGTGCGTGTGCGTGGCGTGTGCGTGTGCGTGTGCGTGTGCGTGTGCGTGTGCGTGTGCGTGTGCGTGTGCGTGTGCGTGTGCGTGTGCGTGTGCGTGTGCGTGTGCGTGTGCGTGTGCGTGTGTGTGTGTGTGTGTTGTGTGTGTGCGTGTGTGTGTGTGTGTGTGTGTGTGTGTGTGCGTGTGTGTGTGTATGTGTGGGTGTGTACGTCGACCTGCTCTACGTCGCGCCGACGCGCGCGAGGCCGCGACTCCACAGAATGCGTCCGTGTGTAATCTTATATTTGTGCGCAGGGGTGTGCCATTGTGAGTAAGTGTGTGTGTGTGTGTGTTTAGGCGTGCGCACAGGTGTGCACAAGTGTGCACAAGTGTGCAAGTGTGAGTGTGTGAGTGTGTGGGTGTGTACGTGTGCGCGTGTGTGTGTGTGTGCGTGTGTGTTTGTGTGTGTGTGTGTCGGGACCTGGAAAGCCACCCGAGCCCGACCGCCCCGAGGCGCCCGGGCTCGCGACGGCGGCCGCGCCCCCGCTCGGCGCCTCCGCGCCGGGGGCGCTCGCCGCCCTCTGCCGCGCAGCGCTGGCGGTGCGCGCGCGGGGCCTCTGCGGGCCGCTGCTGCAGCGGCTCGGGGGCGCCTCGGGGGGCGCCGGCCGGCAACCTGTCAAGCAGTGGCGAAGCGTCCCTCTGGACACCCGAAATGGGTACTGAAAGAATGGGTACTATGCCCAACAGCGGATCTTGTTCATTTTGAACAAGACTCGCTGTCCGCGCCGCCGCGGCCTGTTTCCATTTGAGACAAAAGGCCGCCTGCCCAACAGCGGCCGCTGTTGGCTCGGGACAACATTTGCTGTTGGGCATCGTACCCATTTTTTCGGTACCCATGTCGGGCGTCCAAAGTCCCGGCTCGCCTATAGCCCTACCAAACCATGTTCTAAGAACCTCTTGTGGATTCCACGAAATGTTCTCAGATCATTTCTGGCGGGGCCTGTCTTGGTTTGGCACGTCGGGTCAATGTTCTCAGGACATTGTTTTTGTTTTCAGAACATTTTTTGGGTTCTAAGAACATTTCGTGGTAGGACTATAGGAATGCCGGGACGGCCGGTCCCTGCTCAATAATCAGCGTTGGGGGGTACCCCCCCGACGGGGGTCAACCTCGCCCCGTGGTCGCGCCGCGACGGGGGGTCGGAGCGCCTTCGGCGCGCGGTGGCTGCCCG